TTATTTTATTTTAATTTATAGGATTTATGTGGCCGCTCACTTACTCTCAGCAACTCTGGGTGGCTTACAAACAATAAAAAAATATGGCCCTCTCAGGGACGGTACCACGCTGAGACATCCCATGTTCCACTTAATGACCCATGGAATCTTAATGACTACAGCCGGGAGAGCCAGAATCATGACTCTTGAGCAAAATGATAACATGGATGGCTCGCTTAACAACCACTATGACTTATGCCCCAAATCTGGGCTCAATTGTGGTTTTGAGGTCTATCTGTAGTTATGTAAGTCCCACAATTGGCTTGACCAACATTAAAAAAACAAAGAACCTCCCAGTTCCTACATTTGTCTTCAGAATTATAAATACATATTTTAAACACTGTTACTACTAATAGCTCATGTAAGCAATGATACTTACAGGATGTTCAGTATCGGTATCAGAAGTATCCAAGCTGGTCTCTGAATCACTTTTGGAGAGAGAGAATTAAAAATAAAGCTTCTCATATACAGTCTTTTTTTTTTTTAAAGCAGAACCATTTGCATGAAATTTTCCTTAAATCAACTCATATTGTGAATGAAGAATGCACTGTTTTTTAAAATGGTCTATTCAAAAAGTTGCAATTTATTTTCCCCATCATATTATTGACAGTATATTACTGTAGTATGTAATCCTTCTCTTTCAGGGATCGGCTGCAGTAGTTCCTAGTTTTTTGTGCCTAAGGAAGGAATACTAAGTAGTACACAGCAAATATTAAAACTTTTACTAAGATGTAGTGCTGTGTAAATTTTCTATAATTAAGCTGGATTCATCCTTTCCCCCTTTTTTGCCAAATATCAGCCTTCAATGCTATATATTTCTATTCTATATTAACTTTTTGCTATGAATTTTTGCTAATTCATATACTGTGTTACTATAGCTAGAAGCAAATCAGGATTTCCTTTAACTGAATGTAGGAATAGAAAGAACACAAGTGCATATACTAAAAAGTAATTATATCAATGCTTACATAAAAATAAAGAAGGGAGGGAATGTATTTCTAACTGCCTAATATTTGCTTGCAAAGTGTATGGGACTATATTTGCACTAGATTAATTACTAAAAACTCTTTGGAAGGTCACTATGCATTTGATGAAGGAAATTGTGTCTAATGAGATGTACACAATAATAAATTTGTTATTCGTTAAAGTGACATAAAGCTATTTGGATTTTTTTTATTGTGGTGATTGCAACTTACTTTTCATCCCTTTTTGCTTTCTTTGTGAAATATTCATCTTCTAGAGTGGCTAAATCTGTAGATTTTATCTCATCTTTGATTATCCCAATAACTAGAAAAAAAAACAGATAAACTTGCTCATGTGTGAAACAAGAATCAAATTATATTTTGTACAGAATGCAATCAATAGCCAGAAATGCTAGACAGATTGGAGTGTTCAAAGTTATTGGTCTTAAATTAAGACCACAATCTAAAATATTAAACCTAGCTGATTCATGACCAAGTACCTTCTCTCTTTCTCTAAAATACTTTAGATTACTTACATAAGCTAGCTTTCATGGCATAATTTAACTTCAAAGACAATATTAACAGACATACCTTTCTCAACCTGTATTCTAAAGGCATTTCTTTTTCTTCGTCCATAATCAGCACTGAAAATCAATTTTAAAAACCTCAATGAATATTTCTTTGGTATACCACATATTCAATGTAGAAGCCTAGTGCAACATCATAAGGAAAAGTAGCGTAATGCATAATTACCAATGTTAAAATAAAAAAAGACCAATAAGCACATTCAAATATATATGTTCTATATTAGAATAAATATTATATTACACTGTGTAAATTATCCAGATTTGGTAATTTGCAGCTTCCGCATGAATAAATTAGACCAATCCTAACCTAATCCTATGTTGAAAGAAAGGTGTCAAGAACAAAAGATAATGCACAAATCAGTATATAAGCATGGTATAGCAAGAATGGTTTTAAAGGTGCAAAGAGATTAGGGTTAGAATTTTTGTTGTATTTCCTTTCTTTTTATTTTATGCTTCTAATTTGTTTTACTATTTCTTTTATGTGCTTTGTATACTTGTGTTTACCTCCATGTTTGTATCTCTGTATTGATTTCATTCTTGCAGACACACAATGTAATAAAGAAGATAATGTTAAGCCCTGAGACTCAAATACATACTATTACAAGTTTAATTATTATGCCATTTATTATTATACATGCACTACTCCACTGTCCCTTTCATAGAAAATCTAAAGTACTAAATCTCTTACTACTCACCTATATATTTTCTGTAGTTCTGCTGCTAGAATCTCAGTGTTAACATACTGGCCACATTTATTACTGCTTAGATACTGTAATAAATATAGTTAGGTTAGTACAATATGCAAAAATAGTATTAGCAGAAAAATTGTATATGAACAATTTAAAATAGACGCAGCTTTTTCTTCATCGCTGCAGTTATCTATGTTGGTTTTTAAAAGCAAAGAGATTGAAGTAGAATCTTAATTTATCAGATTCCCTATTCAGCAGATTTTGATCGCAACAGATCAATTTTTGTCCAGATATCATTCCATAGAAATAGATAATTAAGTGTATATTAATTTTGCAGCATCATGAAATTTAAATTATGCAAATGATATCAAATTGCAATATCACTAATTGCAATATCAAAAATTGGCCACTTCTGCATGTAATGGAATTCAAGAATAACCAACAAATATTTCTTTACAAGTTTTCAAAAACAAACCAGAATATTTAATTGTAAATAGTTAGTCCCTGACTTACAACAGTTCATTTAGTGACCATTCAAAGTTACATCACTGCAAAAAGTGACTTATGACCCGACCATTGCAACATTTCCATGGTCACATGATCAAAATTCAGATGCTTGGCAACTGATTCATGTTTATGAGGGTTGCAGTGTCCAGGGGTCATGTGATCCTCTTTTGTGAACCCTTAAAAGCAAAATCAATTGGGATGCCAGATTCACTTAACAACTCTTGCCAAGTTACAAAATGGGGTAAAAAAAGTTTCATTTACCAACATACATTTTGGGATCAATTGTGGTCATAAGTCGAAGATTACCTGTATAGCATAGGACTCACTTACTTAAGAAATTCTCTCCTCTAAGCTTCCTACCAGTAGGGTTGGCTTCAAGTTCTTAAACATTGCCATGTATTGCAACTCAGAAATACACCTCTGTCCCAGTGTTTGCCCTCTGGGATGACTCTCTCTCTCTCTCTCTTATATAAGCCCGCTATAAAAAAGAAGATGGGGTTCAACCTAGGGGCGGCTACTCATCATGACAGAGCCAAATAGGAACGGAAGAAGAACGGCGAAATCACCTGTTTAACTCGCTGTTTCAGCCTGGGATCCCCTCCAAAAGGATGATTTCCTCCCCGATTCCGCATCGCGCTGTTTCCCACGTGCAAATTCCTCCCTTCTTTCAGGTAAAGTTTTTCCGGACTAGACTAGGACCCCAGCTAAGGCTGTCTTTAAAAGGCCTAAATGTACTGGCACAGCCAGATTTTCCAGGCCGTCCCACCAAACGCTGGACTATGATGAGGAGATACACTGTTAAGTTTCAGTACGGGGTAGGGGCGGGGGAATAGGCAGAAGGCAGCTCATTCGTCTTTTTACACAGGCACTTTCTTAGACGCCTAAAACAGAGTCTAAGTCACGGAAGTCCATATTTTGTAGTTCTCTCGGATGTTCTTGTCAATTTTACCCGAGATTTCTTTGGGTTTTCGAGAGAGAACGGGCGTTTCCTTTTAGACGCCTAAAGAGGGACTTCAAGTCCCAGTGTGCTGTGCGAAGAAATCTTTTCCAAATAAATGTACAATAGGGGCAAATCATAGGGACTCGAAAGACGAGGCGGAAGCGCTGCTCCGGCAGCCGCGAACAGACTTAGAGAGGCGGGGCGCTGTACGGTGGCCGAGAGGACCGCTGTTTCCGCAGCACGATGGAGTCGATGGTGTTCATTTTTTCGCTCATTGATTGCTGCGCCCTGATTTTCCTTTCCGTTTACTTTGTATCCTCGTCGTTTGTTTGGGCGGGAGGGGAGGGGCGGGGTCCCGGAGCCGGAGATCGTTGGCGACCGTCTCTTTCCTCTGGTCTGCGGATGAGAGGACCGGCCGAGGCGGGGGGGGGCGTTAATGGCGGTCTGGCTGGGGCAGGGGCGGCGGCAGCAACAAGCGCTGGTTGGGGAAAGCGAGGGAGAAGCGGCTTTTTGAATAGCGTGAGCCTCAGGGAGGCGCGATTGGAAGAAAGGCTGGGCGTCTCGCGGGGTGGGTGGGCGAGTGAGGGGAATTGAAGGCGTGGTGGCCAAGTGAAGGTGAGGCAGGATCCATCGCCAAGCCAAGACGGACTCGAAAGCGTGTTTGCGCCATGTCCGGAACCTGCACAGGTCGGGCGTGTTGTGTCCTGTTTCTTACTTATATATTGCTAGAAACACAACTTGAACAAATCCCCATCTCCTACCTGTGTTTTTGCAGAGGGTTGGTTATATGTTGTCGGGGTCTTGTAGGAGCAGATTGGGAAGCCTTGTATTCTGCATTGATTTGCAGTGGCCAAGAAGAGCAGGAAGGGCAGTTTTTAGATTGGCTGCAGAAGAAAGATACAATTGCTTCATTCTCTTTTGATAAGTTGTTCACTAGATTGTTTGATCTACCATTCAACTTTCTGGTTATGTTCTGCTTGGTTATGGTAAAAGGCCTGGCTCCTGCTTCAATGTAAGACTTATTTTCAATATACTCCTATGATTCTTGTATTGCGTAATGCATTCTTTGGAGTGTAAAGCTTACTGCTTGTTTTCCCTTCTATTGAATGATGATACTTTTGGTTTTCCATTTGAAACAACATATTTCTAAAAATTGGCATCTGTTGTTCTGATTGTGGCAGATTAATGTGGATTAAGATATGTAGAATTGCAATGAAGTTTCACAATTCTGGTAGATATGTTTGCTTAGAATTACATCTGTACGTTATGATCTTTATCATTTTGACTATTGTATGTACATTTCAGTGGTTATTTAATATAAGATATAAAGGACAGTTTTTTAAACATGTAGTTTAGATACCTTTTCAACCACTTAAGTTATCCTGAAAAGTGTAAAACTTTTTAATGTTGTCATCATTACTTTTCTAATAGAAGCTCTTCATCAATTTTAATTTCATGAATAAAATTTTGCCAGTTTAGTAATTAGAAGATTTTGTAAAAAATTTACTTTAAAAAGCAACAAAAGTTTGTGTCTGTTTGTGTGTGTGTATACACACACACACACACACACACGTAGTCCTCAACTTACAACTGCAATTGAGCCCAAAATTTGTGTTGCTAAGTGAGAAATTTGTTAAGTGAGTTTTGTTCCATCTTATGACTTTTCTTGCTACATTTGTTTAGTGAATCACTGCAGTTAAATTAGTAACATGGTTGATTGCAAAAGGGAATCACATGACCCCAGGACATTACAACTGTCATAAATGGGAGTCAGTTATCAAGCATCCAAATCACATGACCATGGGGATGCTCTAACGTTATAAGTTTGAAAAATGGTCATAAGTCACTTTTTTCAGTGCTGTTGTAACTTTGGTCACTACATCAAGTAAACTGTTGTAAATTGAGGACTACCTGTGTATCATATATATCAATATACTATATATGTAGCAAAATTTGATCTGTCAAAATATAGTGCGCATTTCATATGTGAGGCGTAATACTATAAATACTATAAATACTATATAATACTATATTATAGTATTATTTTTTAATACTATAAATGCAGTCCTAAGATGCATTAACAGAAGGATAAAATAAAGATCACATGAAATGTTAGTAGAAGTAATTTAGTAGTAAAGAAAAAGTGGAACAACTTGCTTCCAGATTTTTATTTATGTGTGTGTGTGTGTGTAAACCAGTTTCTTGTGCAATTGGATAATAAGCCCATCTGCATATTATGACACAATTTTTTACGACTGTCCAGTCCACATTTTGCTCTGAAGATTAAACCTGAGGAATTTACTTTCAACAGATGTTGAAAGTAAACAATGAGTATCAAACAGTGGGTTCAAATCGTGCTTGTTAGATTTTAAATAGCTCAAATTCTCAAAATTGAGACATTAGAAAACTCTTGGTTTAAAACTTGAAGCAAATGTTTTAACTTTTTATTGTACAGCCAGGTGGCAATGGGCTCCCCATTGCAATTCAAAATATGGTTACCTATAAACCCCTGTATGCCATAGAGCCTGGATATCTGAGGAACCACTTATTGTCAGTCGTTTCTGCCCATAAAGTATGTTCTGGCAGAGTGGGTGCACTTCAGCTCCCTCTAGTAAGGGGATGGAGGAAGTGTGCCTTCTCTGTTGCAGCTCCCACGCTCTGAAACAGCAGCCTCTCTATGGTAAGGACGGCATCCTCTCTTAAAGTTCTGTCTGGAAAGCTCTTAAAATCTGGCTTTGGTCCTATGCCTGGGATGAATGTGTTGTATTTGATGTTGGTCCTTCGATTTATGTCACTTTTAGATTGTTTTAGTCCAGGCTGTTCGGTGGTTTTAGATCCCCCTCTCCGTTTTTATGAGGGGGGTTGGTTTTGTACCCTGTCCAGAGTCCATAGGAGTTGGATGATTATAATAATCTAAAATAAATACATGATAAAAAGGAGAGAGGAGAATGAACTCAAATATTCCTATTGATAATAATAGGAAACTCTCTTAGTGGGGAGGGGCAACATCTGAATCAAATCAGTAACGACTGTGCTTATGCACCAGGAGATGTTCTACCTTACTTACTCAAATTTTAATGTGCTTATAAAGAACCAAACTCACAAAACAAACTAACTGCTTTGGGAACTAATGAGTGATCAGTATGTCCCAGCTGCATCTATATTGTGCGTGTTATACTTTGGAGTTTGGGTGGCATTGGCAAAAGTCACTAACAGAGGTAAAAGGGATATGGATTCTGCTGTTGTCTATATCTTTTGCAAAATGCTTTCCTTCTTCTGGAAGTCCTAAGCTGGAGGCCTGCTTGCTGAGTTTTATATAAAACTCCTTAGGGTGCTATTTACAATTTGTCCAAATAGTTTAATTCTTACCTAGAAGGGACAGGCAGGGATACAGCTGACATAATAGTTGTTCTTATCTTGATCATCAGATAATTACATTATCAGATTTGGAATGTGACTACATTAATGCCAGATCTTGCTGCTCAAAACTAAATAAAGTAAGTTTTTTTTCCTCTTTAATTTTTTAAAATGTTAATACAATAATGTAGTAAATGTTTACAAATGTATTATTAGCCTCAATTCTACGATGAAATGTTGCCAGAGAACAGCTTCTATGTTGGTTACTTACGTGAGGAATATTTTAGTTTTCTCCAGGGGGCTCTGTTTCATTTAGTAAATAGAATATGCAAACCCAACATCGCCCAATCATAGTTTTTTGGGGCAATCCCTATTTCCAGGCATATAAGATTATATATAAACTGCAGTTATATTACCATCCGAGAGTAACTACTGTTATACTCAGTAGGAGCGGAAGGCTTAGGACTACCCTGATAGTTGTAAAGTATATTGTGATTATATGTAATTCATAAACACACTAAAGAGCACTTTGGACAAATGTCTTTCTAGAGCAGTAGTAGTTAACTTAGGTTCTTCAGAGATTTTGAATTAATCCATCAGCCTCATTATCAAAATATTGTGCAACTTGCTGTTCAAAATTGTATCATTAGTTTGTTTGTACTGTTTACAAGTTTTCAAAAATCATCTTTTCTACAAGTGGTCCTTGAATGACAACCATTCATTTAGTGGCTGTTCTAAATTATAATGGCACTAAAAAAAATGACTTGCAACCTGTCCTTTTACTTCTGATCATTGCATTATTATTAAAATCTGGGCACTTGGCAACTGGCATGTACTTACAACAGTTGCAGAGTCCTGGAGTAATGTGATTGCCATTTGCAACATTCCCAGCTAGATTCTGACAAAGTCAATGGGGGAAACCAGATTTGCTTCACAACTGCACAATTTGTTTAACAACCATGGCAAAAAGTCCTAAAAGTGGGTACCACTTACTGAACTACTTTGCTTGGCCTTGAATCAAGGACTACCTGTATCATTAATTCAGAGAGGAACCACAGTAAACCTAGAATTGCATCCTTAGCAGTTTTCTTATTACAAAAATCAAAAATTACTGTTGTGGGGAAAATGATAATCTTGGGGGCCTAATGCTAGAATCTGGATTGTCTACAGGATAGTGTCTCAGACACTTGTATTTATTCCACTTATTTTGCCCTCAGTGTTCCATACACTACATTTCCCTTTCTTTGATGAATGTTGACTATACGTAGTCTTCTCTTGCAGCATCCGAGTGTTTTATGTGTAGCTTGCTTGTAGAAAATATATTTTTGTGCTTGCCTTTCCCTATTCTTATTTACTAGTTATTGTAAGTCACATTTGAGTTATCTAGAATAAGTAATCTTTATAAACTATTTTACTTAACAACCTGCCATGTATTAGAATCCATTGCTAACCATATGTCAAATGTATACTCACCCTTTTTATAATACCATCTCAATGCAAAAATTCAGATTGATGGGCAGCAAATTCTTAATCATGAAAAATAAAACTGATTTGAAAATTAGGTTAAATATATAAACCTGGTACTAGCATTTCAGTTTACCC